CGTCTGGCAGGATGATAGCTTTCATTCAACTTCATCAGAAATTTAACCACCTTCTTCTTTTCACAAATCTTAATCAGTTTCCTATTTGCCTGGCAAGTACAGCCGCCACAAGTACAGATCGGGTACGGCTCATACATTTTCAGTTCTTCCCATAGAGCTCTGAGTTTATTGAAGAAAGTACTAAGGTTCATAGAACCCTGTTGTAAAAGTTCAATCTGCTGCTCCAGATGAAAAATAGTAGAATCGTTTCGCTGTTTATACAGCGTTTCCAATGTAGACCAAATGACAGCAGCATCATCAAGATACATAACTTGAGTTGCTATGTCAATGGACAAGGAATTTGTAAGCCATGTTCCGACGATGGCGTTACAACGATCCCAAGCACCGAGATCAGGGTGATCATCGGCTGGTTTGGGGACAGACCCATGGAGAAAACCGAGTTTGTTTTTACCAATAAGTACCTTGACGATCGACCGAGACCAGAGATTATAGTTGTCTTCCCCAGTGAGTTTTTCCGGCACCAAAGAAATGCTTGAAGAATCCGCAGCATGGAGGTAGAGCGGATTCGAGTAAGGATCAAGAGAAGAGGGAGGGTGATTCGCAACATCAGAAAGAGGAGGAAGGGGCGAAGAGGCCTCAGCTTCCATGATCAAAGAAGGAAAAGGAAGGAATCAACGATGGAAAATAGCAGAAGAAGTAAAAAAATGCTCTGATACCATAACAACTTGCAGAGAGCAAGTTTCTTCAGAGAGATGAAAAAGACCCAGAAAACGGGAGATTGAGAAAACTTTTCTCTGTATTTTTCCATTGATCCTTTTACACGTATATATACAAAAGAATCTGTGCAACAACCTCTAACAAATTCTACAAAAGGCAAAAAGTGTGTGCTAGCTACAAAACCAGTAAACCGGGAAAATACTAAACCAAGGAAATAATCTAAAGAATGAATAAACCAGAGTATAAAACCATTCCTCACACGTGCTCTGTTATTGAACTTGGATGAGATGCAAAAGCAGAGTCGTATGAATACAGGGAGCGCCATAGACGTTAGGTGCTGATATCATCACCATCATCATCTTCTTGTTCATCTTCATCATCATCTTCTTTTTCTCTACCAATTATAAATATAACCCCGTATCCTAGAATATTTTGCATATTATAGCAGCTCATGTTATATATATATATATATAGAAGCAAATAAATATATTATATTTTAAAAAATATATGATATTGCAAAAATCTCTATATCTGAAGATATTTTATATATTTTCTTTAAAGATTTATATTTTAAAGGTATATATATATAGAAATTTCTGTTATACATACATATAGATATATATAGAAGCAAATCAAGGTACTAAATTTTAAAACATACATGATATTGCAAAAATCTCTACATCTGAAGATATATTGCATATTTCTTTTAAAGATCTATATTTTCAAGGTATATATATATACCATTTTTGTTTTCCCCTTTTTGGGAGTTTTCATTTTGGGAGTTTTCCCCTTTTTGTTTTCGCCTATACCATTCGGTCCAAAATATCCTTGATAAATCGTGCAAATTTCTGGATCTATATTTTCAAAGCGTTGCAAAACGTTGATAAATCGTTGCAAATTTTTTTTACCACAATTAGCAATGTTTTGCAACGCAAAAATATTGTTGATAATTTGCAACGCAATTTTTGCGTTACAAAAAAAATTATTGCAATTAGCAACGCTTTGCAACGCAATAATTTCGTTGTTAATTTGCAACGAAATTTTTGCGTTGCAAAATTATTTCATTGCAAATTAACAACGAATTTTGCAACGCTTTGCAACGCAACAATTTCGTTGCAAATATTATCATTTAAATTAATATGATTTGACTTTCGAAAAAATAAATACAGAAATTTGCAACGCAATTTCGTTGCAAATACAATTAGTAATGAAATTGCATTGCAAATTTAAAATAAATTTGTGGCTACGATTGATTATGGTCTTCACGCCTTTTGCAACGCAATTTCGTTGCAAATTTGCAACGAAATTGCGTTGCAATGTTTTTCTATATATTCAACATCCAAACACAATCCAAACACAATCCATCAATAATTTCTCACTCTAAAAATGATCTAAAACCTCTCTCTAACTCCAATTCTTAAAAAAAGTCAAATAAAAATATATTTTATGATTTTTATTAAATATTTATTTTATGATTTTTGTTAATTATTTATTTATAAACCTTAATTTATAACTTTTAAATAAATTATATAATTCTACATATATATATATATATATATATTATTATCTTTATTTAATATTTTATATTATTTTTATTTAATATTTATATTTATTAATATTTTTAAATTAATTATTTTTTAAATTTTAATTTAATTCTTCTAAAAAACCTGAAATTCTAAATTAATTTTTTTTATTTTTATATTAATTTTAGCAACGAAATTGCGTTGCTAATTTTGCAACGCAATTTCGTTGCAAAATTAGCAATATATTTTTTTCGTTGCAAAAGCGTTACAACGAAATTTGTAGGTTTGCAACGAAAAATTTTCGTTGCTAAAAGACTATTTTTTTGTAGTGCGAGGACTGTGTAGGTATGAGAATACACAGTGTAAGATAACTTAAAGGAATTAATTGAGCTTCTCATATCAATAAGATGTATCTACCTTTTCGGTTGTCCATCTCGAGAGAACTTCAAAGTTAAACGTGTTGACCTTGGAGTAGTCTTAGGATGGGTGATCTCCTAGGAAATATTTTCCGCGATGTGTGCGAGTGAGGACAAAACACGCTAGAAGATCTCGTGTTGGTGTGTGAGGATAGCTTTGATATTCCGTAGCGGTTTCGTATCATTACATATAATTTTAGTATATATATTAAATAAACCCATCAAATATATATAACATAAATAAAAGATTTTTTATGTTATATGAGAATAAAAATCTAATCATTCGATATGTTTCGGGTTAAATAGGCGGGTCGAACTTAATTCGGACCTCAAATTTTTTGGGTCGGACCGATCTACCTATTTATTTATCGGGTATATATTAATTAGGCACATGTTCTTAATTTTTTCGGACAGATTCGGACTGGGTTTCAAACTTCAGGTTTAATTGACATCTGTTTGCAATTTAGCTGGATTGATTTTTTTCCTTAATCGGACTTTGCATTTTTTTTACAATGTCCTCGTTTTTTCAATTTTATTTTTATTTTTTTTAAATGATTTGAAAATCCGGCAAAACTTTTTATATATCACATACACTGCACATAAATCAAGTCCTATATATGATGGGCCTATCTTATACATAGTTCTATTAATAAAGTCTATGGGACTCACTCGTACAATATTATATATTCTTTTGCTTTTATTAAAATATAAACTGATATAAAATTATACGGTTTTTATTCTAAAATGAGATATTTGAGTGTACGATTAAACAGATCACACTTTTCCAAATACATTTAATTAGGATATAATTTAATTTATGACATATATTTTCATATTTCAAAGAGGATTGATTGGTCATCATGCACTCAACCCCGGAGCTTCCATCCTAGCTCTGCAAAAGAGATAATGCCATCGATGTAAACAACTCCTACTAATTATAAATAATTAAATGGATATATATATATATATATATATATATGGATATGGCATATATGTATAACGAGAGAGAGAGAGAGAGCACGAACGAGGTAAGATGGGGAGGATAGTCACGGCATTCGTTGTTGCAGTCTTGAACGCAACGGGCAGAGACCTTATAGGCCATGGAGCAGCCTATAAGGCAATCATCAAGACACTCTCTCTTTGTCTCTCCTTTCACTCCCCCTTCCATCACCACTCCCATCACTATTCCCATCACCATCATCACCATCATCATCTTTTTGTTCATCTTCTTCTTCTTCTTCCCTACCAATTATAAATATAACCCTGTACCCCAAATTATTTTGCAAATTATAGCGGCTCATGTTATATATATATAGAAGCAAATCAAGATATTATATTTTAAAAAATATATGATATTGCAAAAAATCTTTGTATTTAAAGATATTTTGTATATTTCCTGTAAAGATCTATATTTTCAAGGTGTATATATATATAGCAGGTCCTATTATGCATACATATATATATATATATATATATATAAAAGAAATCAAGGTATTAAATTTTTAAACATATATGATATTGCAAAAATCTCTGGATCTGAAGATATTTTGTACATTTCCTTAAAAGACGACACTGCAACATACACATGAGATATGAAACACCCGAAGGTGGCAGGAGGGGAATCTCCATACTCTGGATATTGAACCGACGACCTCGTTTACAAGAAGAGGCTCTCAAACCAACAGAGTTAGGAGATTCTCCTTCCAAGGTATATATATATAGAAGTTCATGTTATATCAACTCCCGTTATACATATTTTAAAATATTTTAAAATCTCTACATCTAAAGATATTTTGCATATTTTTTTAAAGACATATTTTAATCATGCATTTAAAACACCATAAATGTTATAAATCGCTAAAAGTACCGTTTGTGTAATACGGGATTAATACGTGTTTCTACCATTATGTGCATTTAATATCTACCACCGGCGAATTCATGTCTTTCTTTAATTTATTTCTAATCTCACATAATTTTTCTGGATTTTAAATGTTTCTACTAAAAATTTTAAATCTTATAATCAGTGTACATTCCATTAATAGATTTATTTATCATTAATTAGATGAGATTCAATTGAAATGTACATTTATTTTAACGTATGAGGAAATATATTTGAATGCAGTGTATTAAAGCATCTATTAATATATATATATATATATATATATATATATATATATATATATATAATGAATGTATATTTACCATTTTCAAAAAAGATTTAACAGCAAAAGAAATTTTTTTAAAAAAAAAAGAGTACTAGAGACGCCGTTTTTATTTTTATTTTTATTTTACTTTTTGTCATCTTTATATTTCGCCTTATAAATACGATAATTGGATCGGGGTCTTGATCGATTTCGGAAGGCGCATGAGTGCATAGGGTTTCTCACCTCATGCGACCTTGATTCTCTTTCTATCTCAGGTAGATCCTCCTCCATTCCACGATTATTAGGGCTTTTCCGGCTTTCTTGTTTGAATTCCCTTCTTCCTTCTTTCGGTTCTCTGTCCATCTCTCGTTTCTTCTCTTGATTTCTCTCGAATTTGTTGCGTTTACGGAAATTGAGAGATTCCGACATTTATGTTGACCTCGGATCCGTGTATTTAGGGCTTTTCGATTTATTATAGTAGGAAGCTTCGTGGACTAGGGTTTTGCTTAGGAGGTCCTTTCTCTTTTCAGACTCCTTGGGCTGATCATGGCGCCAACTGGCCAAGAAGAGGTTGAATATGAGAGTGATCCTGAAGAGGTGAAGCGCTCCTTGGCTACGAGGAGGAGAGAAGCGAGCGATGATGAAGCGGCTTCGGAGGAGGAGGACGTTGATCGTGGGGGATCTCGGAGGACTGGAATTCATTCGGATGAATCTGATAACCAGGGTGGTGTGGCTGAGTATGACAATGACGAAGAAGAGCGATTGGCAGTAGATGATGAACACGTGGGTGGTAGTTATGATGAAGAGGAAGAGTACCTTGAGGAACGATATGATGAAGAAGGCGGCGATGACAACAGGATGGCTGGCAGGTTGGAGGGTGTTACGATGAAGGCAGTGGAAGCTGACGGGACGAATGGTGAAGAGGCACTCAAGGATTGTGCGGCAAATCATATAGATGAAGAGGAAGAAAAGGAGAAGGAACCATTTTCTGTGCCCACTGCTGGAGCATTTTATATGCATGATGACAGATTTCAGGAAAATTCTGGTGGCCGACACAGGTGTGTTTCTAAATTTCAGCAATCAATTCTGCTTCAAAATCTGTTCTTTCTAAGCTATCAGCTGATTCTATGGCTGAAGGCCTAGCCGAGCTGTTGTGTTCATGGGATAAAAAGTTATGAGTAGGGTAGATATCATTATATGCCCAAGATACCATACCGAGGGTATAGGTTTTTTTGTTGGTTTATAGGTTCAACTACTGGCCTTCGGATAAGATCATAGTATCGATCTGCATGACTAGTTGTGCTGCTGTCATATGGAGTAATTTAACAGGGTTGAATAGTTGTTTCGTTTGGTTTTCTTGTTTTCAGATGTGGCCTACTTAGTAATTTAATGCTTCACTGAAAATCTGAAAGCAAAAATATGTTAATGTTGATATAAGCAAGAACACAATTAGTTCTTTCATTTCTTATCCACCTTTGACAGCCTATGTTATATATTATATGGTAATCCCAGTTGATGTATCTTCTATTTATGCTTGCAAGGCGAATGCGTGGTGGAAGGAGGCTCTGGGAATCCAAAGATGACAAAAGATGGGGACATGACAAATTTGTGGAGATGAATACACAGGAAAAGCCACATGAAGTAGTGCTTCAATCTAATGTTTCTAAATTTTTTTCTTAGGATCTCTCTCTCGTTTCCCCTCTCTATATATATGTGTATGCATGTAACATATCCGTATTCCTATGGTGTTTGTGTCTTTACACACCCTCTCTCTGCTATATGTGTGTGTATGTATATGCATGTAAGAGACATGTACTTCTACGGTGTTTTTGTCCTTTTTTTCATATCCTTTTGTGTGCCTTTTTAATAAAATATTGTTCGATACATATCTGTCTAAACCCAGAGGTGGAGGACTTCTAGGGACGGGTTCAGAGGTCGTGGTCGGACTAGGAGACAAGAGCGTCGACAGTTTTCTAAGACACTTACCGACAATGGAAATCAAAACCAATTTTCTAAAGTTGTCACTAGAGGGAGAGGACCTAGAAGATATGAGACCACCTTGAGAAACGGCAACCAAGCACCTTCTGCACATAACAAACAGTAAGTTATTAGACTTTGTTTTCTCTTGTTTACATATGATGGTTATTGATAATGTCCAGTGTACTGAATCTGCAGGTCCCAGAATTCTCTTGAAAAAAAGTCGCACCTTGGTTCAGGGCGTGCGCCAACAGCCCCAGATAGATTTGAGGCTGAAGTTGGTCAAGCGAAAAAGAGTGTAATTGCTTCTAGTCTAAATTCGGCTTCACCTCCATTTTATCCTTCCGGGTCGTCTGGTAACTTGGCACAGAAGGATATACAAGTTGGAATGGAAAGACCACATAACAATAAAAGCATTTCGCTTACTGGAAGGGATTCTGGGAATACAAAAATATCTTCTTCTGGGCCTTTAACCATCAGTACTGCCCAGCCCTCTCAGCACATGAGTCAAGGTACGGGTGCACCTGCCCCTGGACAAATGTTTTATCAGCACTCTGTTGACCAAGTTGACAGAACTTCGTTACCTATGCCACTCCATGGAGGTTCAAAAGGGGGTGGGCAAAGTGGTCTTCAATCTCCTGCTCAGACTTTTGATCAACCCTCTGCTTCTATGAGACCACTGGCCTCCTCTCCGCCTAAAATGAGCTCGACAAAAAGTTCTTACCCTTCTGAAATGGGATCTGCCTCAGAAACAGCGTCTTTGGTTACTGGTAAAGGAAGCCTCCAACCTAGTGGAAGCTCTTTTCTGTATGGTGGGACTCAAGTTATGGGGCCTGCAGGGAGTCTGGCAGTTGGCCATGCCAACCCTAACTTCCCAGCTTTTCTGCCCTGTAAGTGGCTCCTGGATTTCTCCTTTCTGCCATGGAGTAATTAAAAGAAATACAACGCAATGAAATCATGATATTAGTTGAAAATGAAAACTAGCAATGCCAAAGCCATCTGCATCCTTAAGAATTGTTTCCTTCAGTTTCCCTGGTTGCCGAGGTTTGGTTGGTTTTCCAGGATGACTAGTGCATATTCTTATGCTTTACTGCTTGCTATTAATTTTTCTTTTTGCTTATATTCTGCCTACGTCCATATGCAGTTATGCCATTTGGCGGTCAACAAGGCGGGGTCCCCACCTTTGGCATGGCATTTCCAGGATATGTCCAACCTGAACACGGATTAGGAAATCCTGAGATGACATGGTATTCTTACTCTTTCCTCTCTCAGGGAGCCTTTTGGATGATAGTTTTGGGGATAGTCCTTGGTCGAGACTTTTGACAAATTAGATGTAAAGCAGCTATTAGTCTTAAAGCTGTAAGATGCAACATTGGTTTTGTGAGTGGGTCCAAGATACTTAAAAAATGGGACCAATCAATACAATAGTTTCGTTAGAATGGTCTCTCTAATCACCTGTTTAATGTTTTATGATCTAATTCATTGGTTTGCTATCCTCTACTAGTTCTTGCTTCTAAAATATGATATTTAATTATAAGGTTGCCAATTTTGACTGGTCCGGGAGCTCTAGGGGCTACATACTGTCCGCCGTATGCTGCTATTGACGATTCTTACCAATCACGCAAGCCAGGGTTACCTTCCTCTGCAGGACCTTCCAGGTTTATAGAATAACCATTGATATTCCCGGTGTGCATGTGTGCAATTCTAGCTTTTATTCTAAATCCAAAAGCATAGCATGCACATTTGCATTAAGGGTCCTAGTTTGAACTAACTCGAAGCATGTGACATTTGATTTACATTTGGGAAGTTGTTGGGTAGAAGCTTTTCTACTAAAGACAGAAGCATTTCAAATAGTTTTTTCGGTTATTGTTCATGTAGCCATATAGTCCTTGCTGATTATGTATCTCACCATCCGTTGATGCATTTAAATTTTTGTATACTAAACAGTGATGGTTTTTGCAACAAAGAGACCAGCACAAATAAGCCTGATAACGAACAGAAACCCCTGGAGAGACCTGGTAAGTCAAATGCTTGCAATGTTGGGTCATTTGAGGATGGTTTAATGCTTAGCCATTTTGTGTTTGCGTTACTTCTTTGAGGTGGGGGGAGAATCTACCTGAATTAGATTTTACAGGAAAACAAGAGAATTTGATTTTGTTAGACATTGGTAAACAAGCATAATAGAGAATGTGATGTGTATATGGATAGTCAGTATTATTCTACCAGATTTAGTCTTGGTCAAGCAGCATACCCTAGCCAATTGAAAGTTTTTCTTTTCAATTCAAAGGTCTTTCAGTTTCAGTATTATATTGCTAATTGATCATTCGAAAGAAGGATTGGACCACCAAAAGAAAAATTGGTTCTTTCTGTTCATTCTGAACTTGTTTGAGGTTGAGCTGAGCTGCTTCTGTCATTTGCAGAGGTTGCAAAAAATGGGATTCCGCAGCGGCAAAACAATAACCCAAATAAGCAGCCTCGTAGGTGAGTATTTTACGTATATTAAAGTCACTCTT